TGTGTCATAAATAAGTGTTGAGATGTCAGTAATGCAGTGTGTCATAAATAAGTGTTGAGAGGTCAGTAATGCAGTGTGTCATAAATAAGTGTTGAGATGTCAGTAATGTAGTGTGTCATAAAAAAAGTGTTGAGATGTCAGTAATGCAGTGTGTCATAAATAAGTGTTGAGAGGTCAGTAATGCAGTGTGTCATAAATAAGTGTTGAGATGTCAGTAATGTAGTGTGTCATAAAAAAGTGTTGAGATGTCAGTAATGCAGTGTGTAATAAATAAGTGTTGAGATGTCAGTAATGTAGTGTGTCATAAATAAGTGTTGAGATGTCAGTAATGCAGTGTGTCATAAATAAGTGTTGAGATGTCAGTAATGTAGTGTGTCATAAAAAAGTGTTGAGATGTCAGTAATGCAGTGTGTCATAAAAAAGTGTTGAGATGTCAGTAATGCAGTGTGTCATAAATAAGTGTTGAGTTGTCAGTAATGCAGTGTCATAAATAAGTGTTGAGATGTCAGTAATGCAGTGTGTCATAAATAAGTGTTGAGATGTCAGTAATGTCATATGTGGTTTTTCTAGAATGTGTTCCTGAGATTGTGTAGGGTGGAAGAAATGCACTTTGGGTCAAGGGAAAGGCTTGGATCAATAGATCCACTTTCGTGTTTTTTCTTATATGAGCTATACAATAAATACTTTTGAAAATCATTATTTTAGCGCTGCAGCTAGGTCAGTCATGAACTTTTAATGTAAGATTTCATTGGTGCACACAATTGAACATCTTTCCTGTGTGTGGTGTGTAAGATAGCTTTGCTCATTGGTGCACACAATTGAACATCTTTCCTGTGTGTGGTGTGTAAGATAGCTTTGCTCATTGGTGCACACAATTGAACATCTTTCCTGTGTGTGGTGTGTAAGATAGCTTTGCTCATTGGTGCACACAATTGAACATCTTTCCTGTGTGTGGTGTGTAAGATAGCTTTACTCATTGGTGCACACAATTGCACATCTTTCCTGTGTGTGGTGTGTAAGATAGCTTTGCTCATTGGTGCACACAATTGAACATCTTTCCTGTGTGTGGTGTGTAAGATAGCTTTGCTCATTGGTGCACACAATTGAACATCTTTCCTGTGTGTGGTGTGTAAGATAGCTTTGCTCATTGGTGCACACAATTGCACATCTTTCCTGTGTGTGGTGTGTAAGATAGCTTTACTCATTGGTGCACACAATTGAACATCTTTCCTGTGTGTGGTGTGTAAGATAGCTTTGCTCATTGGTGCACACAATTGAACATCTTTCCTGTGTGTGGTGTGTAAGATAGCTTTGCTCATTGGTGTACACAATTGAACATCTTTCCTGTGTGTGGTGTGTAAGATAGCTTTACTCATTGGTGCACACAATTGCACATCTTTCCTGTGTGTGGTGTGTAAGATAGCTTTACTCATTGGTGCACACAATTGCACATCTTTCCTGTGTGTGGTGTGTAAGATAGCTTTACTCATTGGTGCACACAATTGCACATCTTTCCTGTGTGTGGTGTGTAAGATAGCTTTACTCATTGGTGCACACAATTGCACATCTTTCCTGTGTGTGGTGTGTAAGATAGCTTTGCTCATTGGTGCACACAATTGAACATCTTTCCTGTGTGTGGTGTGTAAGATAGCTTTACTCATTGGTGCACACAATTGAACATCTTTCCTGTGTGTGGTGTGTAAGATAGCTTTGCTCATTGGTGCACACAATTGCACATCTTTCCTGTGTGTGGTGTGTAAGATAGCTTTGCTCATTGGTGCACACAATTGAACATCTTTCCTGTGTGTGGTGTGTAAGATAGCTTTGCTCATTGGTGCACACAATTGAACATCTTTCCTGTGTGTGGTGTGTAAGATAGCTTTGCTCATTGGTGCACACAATTGCACATCTTTCCTGTGTGTAAGATAGCTTTGCTCATTGGTGCACACAATTGCACATCTTTCCTGTGTGTGGTGTGTAAGATAGCTTTGCTCACACCTGAGAACATTACTTGACATCGGAACTTTGTGCAACTAGATTTAATACAGGTTTGAGAGGGGTGAGGGTGGGGATTAGATTACGGGAAATTATTGTTCCGTTTATCCATCATGGGATCTTAACCTGTGAAGAATGGGAATCATGTCTCCAACATTTGAATAAAAATGTTAAATATTTAACTGACTCCTCAAATCAGGGTGAGAGATTTGACTGACTCCTCAAATCAGGGTGAGAGATTTGACTGACTCCTCAAATCAGGGTGAGAGATTTGACTGACTCCTCAAATCAGGGTGAGAGATTTGACTGACTCCTCAAATCAGGGTGAGAGATTTGACTGACTCCTCAAATCAGGGTGAGAGATTTGACTGACTCCTCAAATCAGGGTGAGAGATTTGACTGACTCCTCAAATCAGGGTGAGAGATTTGACTGACTCCTCAAATCAGGGTGAGAGATTTGACTGACTCCTCAAATCAGGGTGAGAGATTTGACTGACTCCTCAAATCAGGGTGAGAGATTTGACTGACTCCTCAAATCAGGGTGAGAGATTTGACTGACTCCTCAAATCAGGGTGAGAGATTTGACTGACTCCTCAAATCAGGGTGAGAGATTTGAGGTTTTTGTTGCAATTCTTCTTCTTGTTTTTCAAACTCTATTTGAATGACAGTCCAAGGCCTGTCACCTATATCAGCTGTACCTGTGATGGCAGTCCAAGGCCTGTTACCTATATCAGCTGTACCTGTGATGGCAGTCCAAGACCTGTTATCTATATCAGCTGTACCTGTGATGGCAGTCCAAGACCTGTAACCTATATCAGCTGTACATGTGATGGCAGTCCAAGGCCTGTAACTTATATCAGCTGTACCTGTGATGGCAGTCCAAGACCTGTAACCTATATCAGCTGTACCTGTCATGGCAGTCCAAGACCTGTAACTTATATCAGCTGTACCTGTGATGGCAGTCCAAGACCTGTAACCTATATCAGCTGTACCTGTGATGGCAGTCTAAGACCTGTAACTTATTTCAGCTGTACCTGTTGCTGCTGGAGATGATCGAACACTTCCTAACAAATGACCTGCAGCATTGACACGTTGCTCTGACCGCCTCACATTATCTGTAGAGCGTGACTCATTGAGTGACGACATATCTATAGATTAAAGTTATGAAAACTGTTGCATTAAAAAAAATTTGGCTCTGAGTTCATGACCTATGCACACAAAATTTTAAACATGGCGGAGGGTCACTTACTCCCCAAACTTCATTTACATTGCAGCACACTGATCACATTATGACATCGCAGGTTTTAAGGGATCTTAAACACATCTCTACTTATGTGCTGTATATCTGTTCTAAAGCTCAAGTACTGTATATAACTGTTCTAAAGTTTATGTACTGTATATATATGTTCTCAGCCTTTTGTACTGTATACAACTGTTCTAAAGCTTATGTACTGTATATAACTGTTCTAAAGATTATGAACTGTATATAACTGTTCTAAAGCTTATGTACTGTATATAACTGTTCTAAAGATTATGTACTGTATATAACTGTTCTAAAGCTTATGTACTGTGTATATATGTCTTAGCAGTCTTTGTTGTATTTTTATATTTCAGGGGAATACGTGTGATGGTCGGCTTATGAGGGGGTCATTGGAGATTAAAAATGTTTTCTTTAGTTACATAGAATAATGAAATTGTTATTGTGGATTGTCGTACTCCTAGTCTACCTTACTCTAAATAGAAAGAAAGAAATATTTGCACTTATTTTAATTACTAATTTGATTTATTTTTCCCTTTAAAAATTAAGATTTGCTTTTATGTTTTATGAATTTTGATATCATAAAACAAATTGTGTGGCCGAGCAGTCTTAACTGACTCAATCCAAGTAGCTGGTGTTCTGGACTTCAATCCCCACCAAAACGAATATCCCAAGCTCCCGGGCTGGATGGGACTAGTTAGTCTTGAACGGCAACTCACCTAAGAGAAGGCAAACTCTGAGTTCAAACCAGGAGCCAAAATAATCAATAACATGATGGTGAGCCCTCAAATATAAAAAAAAAAATTATATTTAGCGCACTTCCACCATGTTTACTGCATAAAATAAAAACATAGATCCTGGAAGTTGTATTAAGCACTGGCATATTTGCATCCTAGATTTCTTTGGTACCATATTGGCTAACACCATCATGTTTTTTTATGTTGTCAACTTATAAAAAAATGGGCTTCTGAACGAGTAACTACAGTGACAGTCACAGACCTCAGGATGTGCCTTCACTTATAAAATTCACAAGCATAAATTTCGTACCTGATAACTTGTATTTAAACACAACAGAAGTCACTTACCAGAAAAGCATCGGATGAATGAGATGGTTTAGACTCCTACATTATTTGACAGACATTCACTGAGTGTGGAAATGATCGTGAAATTTGTGAGAAGAAAACCTGAAGAAATATTATTTGAAACAAGCCAATAAATGCTTGTGGTTGTGAAGGCAAATCTTCAAGTTAGAGTCATAAACTCAACCCATCTAATAACATTGTAAGAGTCATAAACTCAACCCATCTAATAACATTGTAAGAGTCATAAACTCAACCCATCTAATAACATTGTAAGAGTCATAAACTCAACCCATCTAATAGCATTGTAAGAGTCATAAACTCAACCTATCTAATAACATTGTAAGAGTCATAAACTCAACCCATCTAATAACATTGTAAGAGTCATAAACTCAACCCATCTAATAACATTGTAAGAGTCATAAACTCAACCCATCTAATAAAATCTTTATAAAGGCTGCAAATTATTTATTTGTTTAATTAAAGTTATTAGTTATCTAGCAGCAGCTCTCTTTGGTTTATTATATCTGTTTGCAACTGTTTTATATGTCTCTAAACTATTATCGCGTAACATCCTCACTGCCTTTTACTGATTCTCATGTAGGACTACATTAATATTAGTGGCACCATTATTGATATAAGACTTTGAAATGTTTAATTAAAATGTTACCTTCAGCGCCTGTCAGCTCTACCTACTTAAGGATGAATGACGATTAAGTACGTTGCTTTGTCGCCGAGGGACGGTGGGTGGGGACAGCGGAGGATGATGTAGATGTTGCTGCCTTACAAGCGGTGGTCCTGCTTCATGTGCCTGAGGAGGTACGACCTGCTGCCCTGGAAGTGGGGGGGCTGGGGGTGGTGGTGGGGGTGGTACAAGACGTTGAAGAAGGGGAGATGCTAATTCCCTCTGACGGTGCTGTGAGATGGCTCGAATCTGAGCAAGTATTGGAGCTGGAAGACGGTTCTGTCCAGGATTTTGTACCTGGGTATTCCACCTGGGACTGTGACGTGAGGCTACTGATGCAGCTGGAGGAAATATAGGCTGGGGCTGAGGCTGAAGTGTATGACCTGTTGCCTGGACATGAGTTGGTCGTAAGCGTCTACGGCGATTGGGAATAGCTTGACCCAGCACTATATGTTCTTGCTGTGGTCCTCTAGGATTGAGAATACTTGCAAGGCCTCCATACAAGGGCTGTCCACCGATGACCGTCTGAAACTGTGGGTCCAACAAACCTGAGACAGCTGTCACTGCCGTAGAGGCTAATGAAACCAAAGTAGATGGAGCATTAGCAAAGATCTGTGACCTAGCATCAAAGGTGGTCCGAGCCCAGGCGGCACCAGGTGAGATAGACTGAGAAGTGCTGGCCTGGGGGGTCGCTAAATGAAAAAATGGATAAGTCAATGCTGCAAATAAATCGTGCTGATTGGCATGTGAGGTGTCTACAGAGGACTCCTGTTCACTGTGATGGGCATCTTGGGGATCGGTGTAAGACAATGTTGCTGCTGTTCCTTTTCTTTGATGTACAGCTGGGGCATCACTGCTGCTTTTGGTGGAGGTGGATTCTGAACTGGAACCTTCAGATGGAGTGCCTTCATCACCTGGGACATTATTCATGTGCTCTTCATTCTGTATGCACTGGAACTGTATGCCTGAATCTTGTCCTGAATATTGCTGATGAGGGTTTTGTCCAGCATCAGATTCACTTGCTGTTTGATATTCAAAAACAAGACCCTGTAGATGGTCAATAAGAATTTGGAGCTCAAAACTCTTACAGTTCAAGGTGTCCACCTCCTCAGGATAAAATAACAAGTAGTCAATGAGACTGATTAATGAGCTGTTAGAGACGCCATCCAAAAAAGGGTTGGTCGAGTCAGAGCTGAAGGAACTTGACGTAGATGCATGATAAAGATCTGAGTCCTGGTCTTGAGAACCTACGGCTGAAACTACATTCAGCTTCTTGGTCAGTTTAGATATGAGCTGATTGATGACCCTAACATAATACTGGTTCTGCTGGGTTACCTGGGATGTAAGAAGCTTCAGGTGTCTTTTTTCACTGATTATTCTCTTTGCTACCTGTTGAAAAGTTAATTTCTCATTTTTAGCCTCCTTCTGTACTATGGTGCTTAGATTAACTGAGAGTGACTTGCCTTTATTAGTAGGTATCTTCTCATTTTCCCTGCCAAATTTTCCAGTCTTACATCCTTGACAGCATTCAGTCTCAGGCAGATCCTGTACCCACCTACTGCTTTCCAACTCATTTTGAGATGATAATGTTATTACTTCACTGAGAGATCTTAAACTTGCACTGCTGGTACTGCATGGTCTTATGGTGTCAGAAGGGGCATCATTTGTAAGCAAATCTGCAACTGATGAGGTTTGACCTGCAGCACAAGGGTTTGGGCCTGTGTCAGAAGCTTCCTGGACAGTGGTGAGTGTGTTAGTAGTGTTTGTGTGATTTTCTTGGAATTTTTCTGCCGTGGTGATGTTTAGGCTTTCACATCAATCGTTCTCCTGGGACAATTATGGACTCCTGCTAAAATGCTAATATTTCAATAAGATACTAAAAACAGGTATACAAAAAATAAGTAAAAGAAAGCATTATTATTGTCATACTCTTCACTACCAAGGCAGAACAAAACTAGTCTTCAGGCTATCGTGCTTGACTTTAATGACAAGACATCGTAAGGTTTAAGCCTAGAACTTGCTAAGCTAGGTGGATTTCTTTTTTATTTTTTTTTATTTCAGAATTAGTCCACAGAGTTGGACTTATTCGGTTATATTATTCAATACTTTTAAATTTTAGATAGGCCCTATTATTAGGGATGTTAAAAGATTATCAGATTTCCGAATATTGGTTTTGAAAACAATGGTTGTTGTTTTGTTTTTTACACAACAATAATCACATTCAAATTTGTTTATCATTTTAAAGTAATCATTTAAATTTGTTTATCATTTTAAAGTAAACATTTAAATTTGTTTATCATTTTAAAGTAAACATTAAAATTTGTTTATCATTTTAAAGTTAACATTTAAATTTGTTTATCATTTTAAAGTAAACATTTAAATATACCAGAAAAATAAAAAACTATTGAATAAACCATTTATCAGAATTTATATAATTAGTGGCTGCAATATTATGAGATATAGGTGTTGTGGCTGGTGCATAACATTGTGCTCATTAATAAATGCTAACTATTAGGAAAAAAACAATTAGACCAATCAATCGAAGGTTTAAGGGGTTGCGTATTAGTGTCATTTTCATCAACAGCACCATCAATGGTTACAAGACACTTTGGCACACAAAAGCTAGGCTCAAGTAAATTTATTTATGCAAATGTGACCAATATTCACTGCTGATTTTTTAAATTTGTATACATTAAAATCTATTACATATATCAGGATGGCAGAAACACTAAGTAGGGCCTACCCATGACAAATTAAGTTCTACTGACATGACAATAGCTGCTGTAGGCTAATAGTTTAGAGATGATTTTATAAGAATCGCTGTTGACAAAAAGCATAACATTATTTGGGAAAGGGTGTCCTAAGCAAATTTTTCACCTTTCTACAGTGCAATCCTGTTCTCAGACCTGTAGGTATACTCCTACGCTTTTGTTGTAGTAACTATGTTTTTAAGCCTAAGACTACAGCACTATGATGAGCCTAAAAAAACTATGTTTTCTGCAGTTTTTTCATTTGTTTGGTTTAATTTCAATTAAAAATAGATAATTGGTGTGTTTTTAGTAAAAATTTACAGAATTTTTTGTATTCAAGCAATCGAATAACAGTGATTTGCCTTTGTGGTCTCGATCTCAATAAACCAACCAGAATATTATCTTTTAGAGAATTGCGTTTTTAATACTTGACTGCCAATGGGCCTGCCTAAGCCCTTTTCTCATCTTAAAGAAACAAATCGCAGGACTATAACCTGTATTTTTATTTGCGTTAGCTTACATAAGCAACTGAGTGGATTTCCTTACACAACGTGTATTTTGATAGCAAACCAGCCCCTCCATCCCCGCTAATTAGGCCTGTGCCTATGCAGCATAGATACATTTCATAAAACATTTCCATTTTTAGTAATCATAGAGCGCTGTGAGCATGCTATAGTAGTATGGATACAAGCGCTATATAAATATTCAATTCAATAATTTACCAAACTACTCATTGGAGCTTGAAACTTTGTTTTTGAGAGCTGTTAATAAACAAAGCTGACACTAACCCAGGGGTAAACAGGTCTGTGTTAAGAGCCAAAAGTTCTCATGGCCACACCCAGGACAGCATTACCAGGAATATAGAGCTTAGGCTCAGTTTTGCCAATGTTACAACTGGTCACCACCAGTCTAAGGAACAATTATTCCGGGCAGGACTTATTTGCTGCCTTCCCCCTCCAGAGGACCTGAGGCATGAATCCCAGATTCAGATCTGGTAGATATTAATACTAAGGGTGGCTGGCATGTACAGTCTCTCCACATTCCATATTATTGTAATGAAAGGTAGGGGCTTATTTTGTCATGATGGGGCTAGCATGTGAGTGTGAGAGGAAAAGACTTGAGATGGTTTTTATAACACTTTTAAGCCCCATGACTATGTTATATGTAAATATAAAATTATACTTTTATTTGCCTAATGTAGGCCTATATTTCCCTAATATTTAATATTGGTAATTTGTAAATGTTATTTTTAATATTAACAAATTCAAATAATATTATTATTATTATTATTATTATGACAAATTATGTCACTCAGCCCTCAGCTGTTGGCTTTGAAAACCATCTGTTTTCTTATTCTTAGCTAGTAACTACTAGTTAGTAGGCCTACTAGTAGGCTTACAATTACATTTTTTTACCATGATCATTGATGTTTCGTTCATTTTCATGAATCCTGAGCTATAGGCCTATATGGTGAATAAAAGAAAATTGTTGAATCTGGCGATGCGGCGTTTCGAATTCCAGTGATGGTATTGTTTACACTTGTCACTAGTACTAGTTGATCATCGGTAAGATAGTGAAGTCACTTGTTTATAATTTATAGACCCATCAGCCATCAATCTTCTGCTTCTTTCGATGTTCCTTCATTAAAATTAAATAATTGCGATGTCAAGGGGAAATCCAAATGATGCTTATCTCGAACACTCGATAGTATCGATGGAATGCAAGGAACATGGTGTTACACAAGTGACCCAATCTTTTAAGTGTACACAAGCCTTGACCTTTGATAATTTCATGACCCTTTCTTCAAAGTTTAGAAGAATTGAATTAGGTACATTCACGAACGAAAAATTTTTTTATTTTCGGGGAGAAAAGATCGCTTGGGTTCGTTCCGGTTCATTTACCGTCTAGTTGGAGTTGGTTTATTACCATGGATAGCGAGGATGAAAAAGTTTTTGACTCAATGAAGGTAAAGGATTTGAAATCATACCTTCAATCTAAAGGTCAATTACTTAGCGGGAAAAAGGATGATTTGATAAAGAGAGCAAAAGGGACTCATCGCTTGTTCGAGAACACAAATTTTGCGTGTAAGTATGACAACCTGCCATTCATTTTTTTTTAGTACGTGACATAAACTGCAACGGTTTAATTAATAGTAGGTACTACTAATTAATATGCCTATGCTGCATGCTATACATGTTATTTAAACCATATGTACAGTAGGCCTACAGCTAATTAGTGAGCTTAAGTTAAGTTTAAATTTAAGTAATATAGATAATATATTAATCTATGTTTTTACATGTTACACTGCCTGACACTAGTACTCCTTTCACTAACACCACTAGTAATATAAACTATTAATTGATAAATTATCAATTTAAGCAGACCTATCAGTATAACTATTAGTATTATGCTAATAATATCTACAGCCTAAGTTGTATAAATACAAATGACTAATAGTATTAGTCATTAGTATTAGTAGTAACTATTAACTAGTCTTTGCTTTATTACGCTATAGTTAGTGACTTTTTAGGTGGTAAACTTTAACATTATTTGCAACTTGATTCTAGTTAAAAATAATAAAACAATTCACGAGACATGTGTGTAACCATGTGATTTTGTTTAGATCAAGACTTTACAGTGCAGAAGCAAGATTTGGTTGGTGCCGAATATTTCCATGTTGCATCACTGCAAAATTGGATTGGAGTGGAAGATGTGATCATGTCAGAGTGGCCTAATATAACAGAGAAAGAACTGTTAAATTATATGGTGTACAGCAGAGAAATTGATTATACTACTGGGTATGAAAAACATTTGCTTTAAAAAAATATTTTAACCAAATTTTAATAATGACGCAAGTAGATCCTAAAAATGTGTTAAAACCAAATTTTGACATTTTAAATATTTGGGACACTTCCATGTTTGAAATATAAAACACAATTTAAAATATTATTATTTTTAATGAATATATTTAATTCCTTTAAATTTGTTACTTCCGAACAGTGCAAGTGGAATCAGCCAAGAAAGCGTAAACTTAGTCCACAGAAGGCTGAAAATCTGACGCATAAAGTCACAAAAGTAAATCGTGCAATGCCTGAACTTTCTACAACATTATTAGAAAAGTTGAAGCAATTTGCACCACATTGTGGATTTATTATTAATTATACACCCTCAAAGGTGAAACAACCCTCCCAAAAATTGCCTGAAAATGTCAATACTGTTGAATACCGGTACTACTTCAGTTGTTTGTTTCATATTTAAATGTATGTATTTATATTGCTTGTAATTTTTTTATTATGCTATAGGCATTTGAAAATACTTGACTAGTCTAGCAAGATTCCCTTTATTTGGATCACTAGCAAATTGTTGGCTTAATATTTGACGAGTAAAGATTATAAAATCACATTATAGTTACTGGTACAAGCATTATTCACTGATTGTTATTGTTCTTGATTCAGGTATTCTGAGGTATGCTAAGAATGAAGAAGTGCAACGTAATTTTAAAAAAAAGATTGTTGTTTATTTTAAACAGTAAATAATCATATTTTATCTAAATAATTACACATAAGCTTGTCGTAGTATGTTTTATTAAGACATCATCAATCAAAGTCTTTGTTTCTTTACCAAAATTATATAGTATTTATTCAAGGCTGCGCAGATCTATAGGTACCCGGGTACCTATGGTCGCCAATGAAAATTCGAACCCTGAATGGGCTCCGTACATATTAAATGGCTTCGGAGCCGAATGTGATAAACAATAATAGTATGAGAATTATTTTTTGAAATTGTTTTTTCTCCTTGTTTATTTGATTGTTTCATAGTTTTATTATTTTTAGTTGTTTTTTTTATTTTTGCTTTGTTAATTTCTCTTAGTACAGGTAGATTTT